TTTTTAAGTTTTGGTAATTTGCATTTTGAATTATGTTCTTTAAAAATCCAAAACCTGAACAGTGAAACTGGAAATGAAGTGAACTGAGATATTTTTGTTACCAGCCACAGTCTGAGTCCACAGTTAGACTGAAGCCTCAGTAAGTGAGTGCGAGTGTAGCTGCACACCATTTAATGCATTTCCCTTGTTTTGATTCAATTTTATTGAAGTAATATTTAACCTTTATACATTATTTTGGTGCAGCAGTCAGTGTCAGAATTTTCAGGCTATTTCCAGATCTTGTGGTTGTGTTTTTCCCGTCCTCCTCTACACAGTGAAATCTGTTTTGTACAACATCCCCACCCATCCATCTCACTCAGCTCTGTGCTAATGTCTTGCGTGAGAGACCAGGGAATTGTCTGTAGATGGGGGCCATTGACCTGCAGTGATTGTCTGAATGAATATGGGATCAGAAGATGCACTGAGTACATTGTGCATCCATTACAGTGGGATGAATGGTAACGTAGGAAAAACGGAGCCTAAAAGTGCTGTGTTCCAGTAAAGGAGAGATGAATGGTGGCGCATGTACTGAGTGCATATTAGTATTGTAATGTATGTGAGGAATGCTGCGGAGGCATTGTTTTCTTTTTCCCCTTTTTCCGTGAATGTTTTTTTCCTGCTGAAATCAGGTTTAAAGCAGCAAAGGCAGCTTTTCACTTCACTTCTGTGTATTATTCATGAATTCTCATTGTATTGTGTTTTCATTAGTATATTTTTCCCTTTGGCCTGTTATTACACGCCCTGCCAATGCACTTAAATAACTGGTTGTCACTCCCATATTGACTGAATTCAGACAGTGAAATAGAAAACATGACAAATATCACTTTTCCCCAAACATGCTGCAAACCACATGCAGCTAATGACCAAACACAATGGTGAATTACCTTTATTATTACTTTTTTCTGCTTCTGCATGCGGTGTGTCTTCTTTGCAATGAGCGGAAAGTAATGTGTGGGTCATTTCTCGGGTAGCTGAGCCTGTGATTTGCCTCCCAGCGGGAAGTCAGCCATGCTGAGCCGCTGGCGAGGCTCGAGCCTAGTATGGAGCTCATTAATGGACCACGACACTGGTTCAGGCCTACTGGGCTTTATCTGTGCCCAGCTATCTTTATGAGGACCATGCTGAGTTTTAGAGCACTGGAGTGAGAATATTTTGGAAGAGTGAAGACATTTTGGTCCTTATCAAAAGGCTGTTTTAGGGTTAAGACTCCGTTTTAGGATTAGAGTTTGGTTAGGTTTAGGTAAGGTGTTAGAAGTGAATGTCCTCATGAAGACAGCTGTGCAAACGTGGCTCTGTTTTCTTTGTTATTATGGAAGAAAACTGCATAAATGTATTTTAAAACATGGTCCCACTTCTTGTGCAAGATAAATGTCACTGCAATATTATTCATTAATGGACAACAAGTATATTTCAGGTATTCGATTCACCCGCTCTAGTCCGTTCTATGTTAATTTGCATACCTATAGTATTGTGCAAAAGTCTTGAGCCACCCCTCAAGTCTTTGTATTTTACTAGAAAAATGGGATAAAGAGATTTATAGTGATTTATCGTAACATGGCAAAATACTGGAAACAGTATATAAAGCAAAACAGAGTTTATGCAATACTAACGACCACCTTTACCTTTAAGACAGACAAACTCTTAGGCAAGCTCTCTTGTAATTCCTTTAAGTACTCTTCAGAAATACAAACATAGACACCCAGAGCTTTTCTTTGGATGTTTCTGCCCTTTTTCCCGTTCTCGGTCAAGAGGATCCCACAGTGCTTCGGTGATGTTGAGGAGGTCAGTCCATGACTGATGATGTTTATCTGTGTGTTTTCTGTCCGGATATGCTTTCGCTGAATTGGCAGCTGAAAATGAAGCCTTTGCCTTGCATGCTTGCTTTCAGTTTCAGCGATCTGATGGTCCTTCTCTGTATTCATAAGTTTGACAAGATGCCCAACATCACTGACTAAAATCCAGAACCTGTAGACACTCACTGTGGTGTCTCTCTCCTCAGATACTGCTCATCTGTTGTAGATAGTCTTTTAGGTCTGCCACGTCTTCTTTTGTCCTCTAATTGGGAATTTTTGGGAATCACCTTTTTTGTACAAAAAAACCTGTACAGAGTGTATTCTTTAACAAATCTGAGCTGATGGGGCGATACTGGCATTTTGACTTAGTTCTCACACATTTTAGGAAAAGCAAGTTTCCTAAAGTCTCTTTTTCCCGGACATGTCAGTGGAAATAAAAAGCAATAAAATCTATTATGTGGTTGCTGTTATAACTACGCACACATTCAGCT